GTGGATGTCCATTATGGTCATTTTAATTTAAGATATAATTTCCATTAAAATAATATTTCATTAAGTGTGTGCACTGAGATAACTAGGTGTGTGAAAATAAAATTTTAGACAAACATGGCTAATCATTTTAGACAAAAAAGCCCTCTACAGCTTAGTTATATTTTTATATTGTTTAAGTGATTTTAATTTCAAAACTTTAAAATTTAATAAAATATTTTATTTATATCTTCGTTTTTTGTAAAATTTATATTTTCATAATCTTATTGACAAGATCCTTCAAACAAGATCTATGAGTAATATGAAATTTTATTGTGTTCGTTGTTATGTCATTGTGAAATTTCTCTAACTATGTACAGAGTGAAATTTCACTAAAATAAATTTTGATGTGCAAAGTCACTAAAATATATATGTTTTTACACTAGAAAATCTAAAATTGATTATTAATTGCAAGAATTAGGTCCTTCATTCTAAATTTATTACTAAAAACTTAAAATTGAAGGTTCCAAAATAATAAATTTTAAAATTTTGTATATTAAATTAGTAAAATTTCACAATATATGTAATAACCTCAATCCGTAATTAGTCGTTAATCCATACTTAAGAATATTAATTATGTGGTATAAGTGAAATTATGTATTAATTATGTGTTTTGCACTTAAAGAGCAAATCTGAAAATTCTAGAATTTGGTCATATCGCTTGAGCGACCAAACCGTCGCTCGAGCGCATATTTCGAGCTCTTAGAAGTTTTGTAGAGTTTGATGGTTGGCTCAAGCGACCAAAAGACCACTCGAGCGACCACTTTTTATTTTCAGTCTTGGATCAAGCAACCAAAAAGTTAGCTCGAAAATAAAATAAAAGCTTTCAAAAGTTTTGCAGACCAAGGGGTCCGCTCAAGCGACCAAAGCTTCGCTTGAGTGAACTGCCCTATTTCTGAAATTTTGCAAAGTGTTTCCAAGTGTATAACTGCATCATCATTCCATCCTAGGCATTCTTAAGCCATGATTAAGCTATAGTAATGAGGATGATAGTTAGAAACACACCTAAAACGAAATATAATAAGTTGGAACGTTTACAGAGCGTGTGTTTCAATGTGTATCTTTCACGTATTTGTGTAGGTCACGCGCTAGTATCCGTCTGATCTGTCTAAGTTATCTATTTTGCTTTAGAAGCTATCTGTGAATAACAACTCTATAAAGCTATGTTTTACTATAAGTATTTTCTGACTGATATGATATGATCTATTTTCTGAAATGCTATTTTGTGAATCACGAATGAATATCCAATTTTTTGAGATGTATTCATGGCATTCTTAGCATCATGTGAATATGTCATGTGTTATATGTTACCTGGTACCAGGGTTTTATGTGGGTTCCATTCATGGAATTGATTATGCATAATCATTTACTCTGTACGTAGGTATTAACGACCATCTCATGTGAATAAGGGTTTTTATGACCAACTACTTTGCACATAGGTCTTAATGACCATCTCAAGTGAATATGAGTCTTTTATAACCAGTCTGATCTGTTAGATAATAGATGTACCACATATGACTGTTTACAAATCTGAATATGTATAAGAGTCTGTTTATGATTTGAATTCTGATTTTTGAATCTGTTATGGACATCATTCATAAAACCTTTACTCTGCTATTATTCACTGGGCTCCACCGCATTATTTATATTATGTTTATAGGTGACTAGGTGCGTGACCAAGCTTGAGTCTTTCAGTTTAGATTTTGTTTGTGTCAGCCAACCAACGTGCCTCCCGATGAGGTTCCAAAAGTCTTTTGTGGCCAAGTTTCTATGGGCAAGTTTTGAAAATAGTTTTAGGATGATTTGTAATTTTTTTTTATTGATTGATATATAGAATATGAGAAAAGAGAAGAGAGATGAGAAAGAAAGAATAATTGATTGATTGATTAATAATAATAATAATAATAAAACAGAAAGGACAAGTTTTAAAAGTAATTTTGAATTATATTTTAAAAATATGTTTAGTTAATATATTTCATCCAAATCCTGATTTAAAAACAAAGTTAAATTTGAAAAAGTAAACAAATGCTACCTAGGTAGGGCTCGCTATAATTTACCGTAAATTAAAATTGTAGCTAAAGGTTAAAAGGGTTTCAGGAGATCAAACGAGCCGAAATGAGGAAGGGGTTGAGGCGCCATGACTCTGTTTATAAACAGTTGAACACGACTCTAGTTCATCCACGTGCAACTCATAACTCAACTCTTGTTGCCCTAGACTAGACTGCAATATCAAAACTTATTAACCGCCATTATTATAACTTCTCTGAACTAACTAAAAAATGAGAAAGAATGTGGACGAACGCATCCGAACTCTCATCGAAAACGGCGTCAAAACCAGACACCGCTCCATGTTCTTCATTATCGGCGACAAATCTCGTGATCAGGTTCTTTCCATTCTCTCTATCTATCTAGCTATCTACATATATATATATATATATATATAACTCTGTGTGTGTGTGTGTAAAGTGTAGTTTGTATCTCTCAATGGTAACTGGTTTTGATTTGTATAGATTGTGAATCTTCACTACATGCTTACTAAAGCTGTTGTCAAGTCAAGGCCAAGTGTTCTATGGTGCTACAAGGACAAACTTGAACTTAGCAGGTAAATGTTTAGCTCATTCTTTCACCAGTGACTCACACAAAATTTATGCTTTTCTTCAGCTCTTGCATAATAAGTAAAATCAAACTAGTTTTCTGGAATTTTATGTTTTTTTGTTTTACTAGATTGCAAATCATTGTAAACTTGGAAATAGTCTTTCTTATATGAATTTTTAGTTGGTAACTTGTTTTATGGAAAAAGCAAGTAAATTGAACTCACACCAATATTGGTATAGCCCAGGTTTTCTTCTGTCATTGTTGTAATGCTATTTTGCAGCAGCATAGGCCGTGTTTGTTTTGGTGGACTAGATTAGATCGGATTAGCATTCTTAACTGTTAGTCCTATGATTATCAATTCCCTTGGATTATGTATTCTATCCAATGTTTGGATTGACACAAAATTACAAGGGATAAACAAACAACTATCAATTTGGGAATTTAATTAATTAGTTTGAACCAATGTTATTAAAGGAATGCCTAGGGGTGAGCCTAGGCCCATGGCTCATCAAGGTGTAGTCAATGCGCTTCAAAACATCTCAGGCCAAGCGATGTGAAACAGGCCTTATGAAGGCACATGAAGCATGCATTTTGGGCTTTGGCTCAAGGCGCATGACATGTGCGTTTTTTTTTTAAATGTTTATTTCTTACAATTACTACTATTGATTTCACTTAATCTTATCGTTTTTTTGTTTGTTTACATGCTGCGACAAGGGATTAAATCCTTAAATATACATTGCAATATAAAAAAGATGTTGTCATAGAGCTTTCTCTTTGACTACACTAACAATTGTCGTTTTTCTTCTTCATCCCCTCAATCTCTTTCTTCTTCTCCTTCTCCTTCTCTATGCTTATTTTGTAAGGCACTTCGATCTCGTCTCTATTTTAAAATGTTTATGATTTATGGGTTAGATGATTGAGTTTATGTGTAACCTTGAATTATTTGGCTATGATAAAATATTGGTGTTTGTTGGTATTTATGTTTTAAGATATTTAATATTGCATTACTTGTGTTGAACCTTCAATTATTTTCTTATATTAAATTATCTATTTTTTTTTGTCAACACGAGCCTCGTTTCGATGAAGCTTGCACCTTGCCTTGCGCCTAGCACTTAGGCTCTAGTAAACCTTGGCACTTCAATGCGCTTATCGCCTTTAGTAACACTGGTCCAAACCTCTCCTTAGTCCTCCATTTTGTATACCACCCCTGCTCTTGGGATTCAATAGTCCCCCATATGGGGATGGACTATTTGTCCGGACTCTAATTTTCTTAGCCAAACATCAGATTATGTATTTTGTTCGATTATTAATCCAATCTCAAGGCTATGTTTGCCCAAACAACATGGTCTATATGTATACTAAACAAACACATGCATTTTAGAGTAAGCAAAACATGCTAAATGAAATGTACCTGCAGGATGCTGAAAATATTACTTTTTCATAAAAATACACACAAATGCATATACATACAGTTTTATAAGAATTGTTCGCTAGAGCTTATCACTGAAGAATGGGTGATTACCTAAGATATTTAATCTATCCTTTTCATTATAGTTTATTTGATTTATCATATCATTATTGATCAGCCTGTGTGTGTTAGATTTATATGATCCAATAGGAGAGACCTATAGAGAGTTCAAATAAACAGTTTGCTTTGTCGCTATTACGTTCACTTTCAGCTCAATTCTTTGGTGTGATTTTTTCCTTATTTTTCTCTTGTTTCAATTTGTATTATTGGACAAATTTCCACCAAGACAGTTAATTGTTAATCAATTCAATAAATTATTTTTTGCAGTCACAAGAAAAAACGTGCGAAACAAGTCAAAAAGTTAATGCAGAGGGGACTATTAGATCCTGAGAAGGTTGATCCTTTTTCACTTTTTGTTGAAACTGGAGGAATTACATACTGCCTGTACAAAGATTCAGAAAGAGTTCTCGGAAATACTTTTGGCATGTGTATACTACAGGTAGATCACCATTTGTCTATCATCATTGAATTGATTTGTGTTGCATGATCTTCTCCAGTCATGTGAAAAGTCTCTATTTCCTAGTGCTTATTCTAATTTTCCTTTTGGTTATGTTTTTAGGATTTTGAGGCTTTGACACCAAATCTCCTTGCAAGAACGATTGAAACAGTGGAGGGGGGTGGATTAATTATACTGCTACTTCGTTCTTTATCCTCACTCACAAGTCTGTGCACCATGGTTATGGTAAAAATCATAGTTCATAATTGTCTTACAGCTTTTTTATTTTTACCTATTATCCTAGCAGTTACAAAATTGTGGGACCTCATTTCCACAATTAGTTTTTGTTCTTTTTTTTTTAACCTTCTCCCTTCAATTAATTTTGTGATCTTACATTTGATATGATTATCAACACATGTTTTTGTTGGAGCAAAAAAAAAGTATCCCTTATATTATATTTAGATATGTAAAATTTTCTTTTGTTCTATATCTCATGCTTTGTGGCACAATGAATATTGTGTGCAAGGTTTTTAATAATGGCGGCGGTTACCGTAACAGTAACAGTAACAGTAGTGTTGACGCGGTTGCGGGGTGTAATGGCTATATCGTAACGGTGACAGCCATCGCAACCATGAATTTTTTAATTCTTCACACAACTTTAGGAAAACATACCGATGGGCATGTTTTTATTTCAGAATCATTAGTGAGGTTCATCTTGATTTTTAGTATTTTTGTTTAGTTTTAAAATATGATATATATACTAATTTCTATATTAGTTTTAAGTCGTTATGGAGAATTTTCACTTGTTCTAACTTAGGCTGTGCCAACATAAGATGTTGGGCCCATATCTATTGCATAATTATTTGTTCAAGGCTGCAGATGTGAGATGGTTGTTGTTTCTGTATTTTTTTTTCCCCTAATGTTTTAAGTTCTTAAACCATTATTTTTATTTTTTAATGCTCATAAAAGGCGTACTAATTACAGGATGTTCATGAGAGGTTTCGTACAGAATCCCATTCTGAGGCTACTGGACGTTTTAATGAACGTTTCTTACTGTCGATTGCTTCATGTAAAGCATGTGTAGTTATGGATGATGAACTGAATATTCTACCGATTTCTTCTCATATGAAGTCAATTAAACCATTTTCAGTCAATGAGGTAACCTTTCCAATTTTGTAAATGTTGATTTATTTGAGAACAATAATTCTTTTGATGTGCAGTTGTTTTCACATGTTGTCTGCCACTGCCAGTGGCACCTTGAGTGCAAAATTTGCCATGTGAACTTGCTTCCCAAGTGAAAATTTCTGTTGGGAGGGAGGGTTATGGTTCATTATGTTTTAATTTGAAATTGATAGTTATTTCAAATGATTGAATAGTACCGTAATGCTTAATATTGAAATATTCAATCTAGCCAAATCTTCAATTCTTTTTTTTCCTGTTGATAATTTAAGGACTCTGAGGGTCTCTCGGAAGCGGAGCGTGATCTGAAGAATCTGAAAGAGCAACTAAATGATGATTTTCCTGTTGGTCCTTTAATTAGAAAGTGTTGCACATTGGACCAGGTATGGATTCTTTGTATCCTTTTCACTGTGTGAGGACTTCTTGTCCTCCAAACTTTCTTCTTTAATAAATTTTGTTGTTGATCTTCAAAAAAAAAAAAAAATTCTTTGTTCAACTTTACGAAATTCAAAATTCTCTTTCATGTGGTTGAACAATTGTTGGTAGCTCAGCTCGTTGTTTAAAATATTTGGATAGGGAAAAGCTGTCATTACATTTCTTGATGCAATTTTGGATAAGACACTTCGTAGCACAGTTGCTTTGCTTGCTAGTCGTGGCCGTGGCAAGTCAGCTGCACTAGGTCTAGCAATTTCTGGAGCTATTGCTGCAGGGTACGTGCTGGAACTATATTAATCACTTAAGTCTTGTGTCATGTCCCTTGTTCCTACTTCTTTTTGTTTACATATTGACCATTGCTAACTTTTGATACTAAAATCATCGGTATAGGTATTCAAATATCTTTGTAACTGCACCCAGCCCCGAGAACTTGAAAACTTTGTTCGAGTTTGTATGCAAGGGATTTAATGCACTTGAATATAAGGTATGCATGTTTTGTGTCCCTTCTGTCTGAGTAATGAAATGCTTTGTAGTATTGCATTGCCAAATTATATTGTTACCGTTTAACAGGCTTTAATGAAGCCCTTCTAGGGCATGGGGGATTCCATTCATAGTTTTGGTAGCGTTTGGTAGAGTTTTGTAAATGTGATTTGAGAGTATGAGTTGTATTTTGAGTTTGTGTATTGTGGAATTATGATTTGAGTGTAAAAAATTTGTTTGGTTATGATTTTTAAATAGAGTGTTGAAATGTGTTTTGAAAATATATTTTGAATTAAGTTTTGAAAATTTGATGTGACATGTATAATAAGAAAATTTGTTTGGTGATGTGTTTTAGAAATGGTTTTCAAAACTTCATTCAATCAATAATTTATAATCAAACACACAACTCATATATCAATATCCGTATTTTTTATCAACAATAATAACCAAACTATTTTTAAAATACTGAAATTAAAAATTAATTTTTTTTTTCAATTAATTTTTTTTCAGTAATTTTTTTTGAATAATTTTTTTTTTCATTTAAAAATAAATCTATGTCAATTATTTTGTGTCAATTAAATTTTCTATCAATTCATTTTTTACGCTTGTACAAACATTTTCTACAATACGTTTTATATATTTTTTAAAATTTTTGTTAAAGTCAACAAATTTTGAGAAATCATATTAATAAAAATTAACATAAATACACTAAGTGTAATATTTTAAAATACAAATCATAACGTAAACCTTACAAAACATTATCAATTTTTTTTCTCATTTATTACACGT